ACAAACAACATCTGAACAAAAACAGAAGCCTTTGCCCTCTACCTTTGTGAGCCTGGCGAGGGTGCGCTCTGTCTCCCTCAAAGTACGAAGGCAGGTGCTGTAGTGGGCTTGCAAGGCCTCTAGCTGGGACTGCTTCTGTGTGATCAGCTTTTTGGAGGTGGCAAAGTCCATTTCGGACCAGTTCAGCTGCATAGTCAATGTCTCATTTTGCTCCTGCTCCTCAGTGGTGGACTTCTTGTAGCCTTCAACCTCTCTGTCAAGTAAGATCACCTGATGCTTGACCTCGCTGAGGGAAACAAGGACAGCAGAAAGGAATGAATGAATGCATGCTTTCATTTCCATTTCAATCTCAGGTTATTAATATTGTTGTATTTTCCACATGAAAAAAAAAAATGAATTTGATGATAGTGATGGAAAAGTTTGCTGTTATTTCCCTTTTCTGCTTTAGTCTGAAAAGCGCAACTGAACACTGCAAAGAACCATTATTCCCAGGATGCTATTTATGGAGCATGTCTCCAGCAGGGATATGCTTAGTTATAAGCAAATGTGGAATCCATCCATCATCTACACCGGCAGGGTACAGCCTAGACAGGTAGCCAGTCTGTCACAGGGCTGACATGTAGACAAACAACCACACACACTCACGCTCAATTTAAAGTCACCAATCAACCTAAGCTGCATGTCTTTGGACTGTGGCAGGAAGCCGGAGTACCTGGAGAGAACCCGCACAGGCAGAGAACAAACATGCAAATTCCTCACAGAAAGGCCCTGAGTCAGTCCGGGCTTGAACCCGGAACCTGCACCACTGTGCCGCCCACAGATGTGGAATGTATTAGCTTATTTAAAGTGGATCAGTAGTACATTAATATTCAGCCTTCTTTGCCCTCATTCTTACCGCAGGGCCTCCTGCATCGCACTGAAAGCCTCATCTTGTCTCCTCAAGCCCAACAGGCTGCTGTTCCACTGCTGCAGCAGTTGTTTTTGTGCCAGCATCAGAGACTCCATTTCCATCTTAGCCTGCACACAGACAAACATGACTGGACATGTGTTGGGGCTATTGTTGAATAGATACTTCACCATTACATACATGGTCAGCAAGAGAAAATGTGCAGTATATTAAAAGCTGTGTGAGACTGGCATGCTTGAGTCCATCAAAAATAGTAAATAATGTCATAGTAATCAACATTTCCTATGTTATCTGTGTTTTGCAAGATGTACGCTCTATTTCAAATAAACAAATTCACTCATTTTTGGAAAATTTTGAAGTTGTACTTATCAATCTTTTCATTAGCAATGGAGTAAATGATTACATGTAATGTGAAAGGTACCATTGGTGGTGATAAATTTGCAAAGAATCATCATCTGACACTACAGCTCTACAAAGTATTTTAGCATCTTTGAGCTAATGTTTTAGTTTTTTTGTACCACGTTTTTAGGGACTGACTATGTGTTGTCTAATCACAACCACACATAATGCTACTGACCAGCTGAAAAAGGGACAAGGTTTAGCAGCATTAATCTCTGGAGCTGGTAGAGACCAAAACAGAGCTACACATTCATTATGCAGCCAGAGCTACAACTCCAAATAAATGCTAATGTTGCTCAGGATCTACTGGATGTGTAAATGAACATGTTTGAACAGCACATTAGCTGTAACAAAAAATATATTAATACAGCTTTAATCTTTACATATTCCTGTCAATTCATTGTATGGTTAATGTATTAATAACTGCACTATCATTTATAGAATCTGTAGAATCTTTGCTGTCTGCTTGACAATTAAAGGCACATTCAACTTACAGGTATATAGTGACCGATGGCATAATAGTTACCTCGAAGAGGGCTTCTTTGGCTGCCTGTGTCTCCTCTGCTTGAGCACTGGCCTGGGCCTCATACATGGCTATCTGCTGTGTTAGCCTCTCCGTGTTCTTTGTTAGACGGTCTATGTATAAATCCTGATGATAGAGGAGTATTTTCAGTCAGTAACTGTAAATGAATCAATGACTCTACCTAGTACAGTCACAATTTTGGAAGATCTGCTGTTTTGATAATGTTTGACTTCAGACTACCCACCTGCTTCAGTTTCTGCTCTTCAGCCTGGGTCTTCTTGACTCCTGCTTTGTGTCTGGCATTTTTCATGGTTTTGACATTAGAACGCAGATCTTCACTGACTCCTTGCATGAAGACAAGGTTCAGCATTAGGCTGTCAATCTCTGCCTGTAGCTGGGACACTATGGAGAAGATACACAGGAGTCAGCTCGAATGCAATGCCTCAATTCCGTAGTTTAGAAACATGGACTAACATGGAAGCTGACTTACTGTTGCAGAAACAGTACTGTGCTACAAACTACAGGTTGTTTTTAATACAATGCTGACTTTGCAATAACAAGGACAAAGCTTCAGATCTAGAGTATTTAACTTTACTTTACTTCCACGCTGGACTACTGTATCAGGATGTCCCTAAAAAGCCTCCAGTTAATCCAATATGCTGCAGCCAGAGTAAAATCCAGAAAAGAATTTAAAATCCTTCTCCATCATATCTTACAGACCTCGTAGAGCCTTATCATCCCAACAGAGCACTTTGCTCTCAGAGTGCAGGTTTACTTGTGGTTCCTAGAGTCCACAGAAACAGAATGGGAGGCAGAGCCTTTAGCTATCAAGCTCCTCTCCTGTGGAACCAACTCCCAGTATCAGTTCAGGAGGCAGACACCCTCTCTACCTCTAAGATTAGACTTAAGACTTTCCTTTTTGATAAAGCTTATAATTAGTATAATATATTGTTCTATAATTAATTATTATTGGTGTTAGTGATAATATACTTCCCTCACTGTGGTTATTATTAGTAGTGTATTCTTCCTTTGTTTGACAGTCTTGGTAGAGTGTCAGTGGTTGGACAACTGAGCGGGCCCAGCTGCCATTACAAGCCAGTTGGGCCAGCCACTGCTTAACCTGAGCAAATACAATGCAGATGTTGTGTGTCAAGCCATATAACTGCTGTTTGTTTGGGTGACGATTGGATTCAGGGATGCTTTGTATTAAGGGTAGGCTAGGTCTGGAAAATGGTGTTGTGGGGCTCTGAGCATTTATGATGGCATGACCTGACACCCCCCTGTTTGGAGCCAGATAATGAGTAAATAGCATTTAACCCATATACTGAGCTTCCATAGCCGTCCCTGGTAGGCTAGTGGTTAAGGTGCAACGGCCCGATATATACACACATATACACATATATATATATACATACATACATACACACACATATATATATATATACATACATACACACACACATATAGGTGTATGTATGTATGCTGTATATGTATGTGTACTATGTATACTGTATTATACTGTATACTGTATAATCCTAGTAAGACAGTGATGGAGAGTAGAAAGACACTAAGCATATTTCATGGCACCATAAAAACTTGTTGCGTCCTGACACTTTTCTTTTCTTTTGTCTCTCCTCTATCCACTCACCCAACCGGTCAAGGCAGAAGGCTGCCCACCACTGGGGTCTGTTGGAGGTTTCTTCCAATAAAGGGAGTTTTTCCATCCTACTTTCACCAAGTGCTTGCTCAAGGGGGATTTCATCTGTTTTCCTTATAACAGTGTAAGGTCTGGACCTGATTATGTAGACAACTGTTTTTGTGAATTGGTGCTATACCAATATATTGAATTGAACTGAACTGAAGTAATGTAGCTTTAATCAAGATTTATATTACAAACTCAATAGAGATAACATCTAGTTATGCTGCACTAAAATCTAGACCCATATGTTTCAGTCCACATGGCTTCTGCCACCCTGCAGAGCAAATGCGTGTTGCTGACTAATTCGGCAGGTTCCAGATTGTGATTTGTGAATATTAAATAAAATAATGACAATATTATTTACAGTTTTCAGAAATCACAGCCCAAAGCTAACTCTCATAATATCATGGCCTCAAGCATGAGAATCATCATGAATTAAATCAATAACTATAGATTTGTTAACTAAAGTAAATAGATGGCAAATAAAGAATGAAAGATAATCCTGGATCAGGACCAAGGCAGATCCAAACGGCTTACCACTGGCTTTGGCTTTGGTGTCCTGGCTGGTACCACTGGAATACTGGCTCTTCACTGCCTCCACCTGAACCTGCGCTTGCCAATGTTTGGCTTCAGCCTGTGTCTTGGTCTGATTACGGTCTTCCAGCTTGTTATAGAGCCTAGCCAGTTGCTCCTGAATCCTGAACATCTCAACACCTTTCTCCTGTGTATGGCTGGTATCTCCCTTCTCCATTGCCATCTAGGGCAGTGTGAGAGTGAGACAAGAATCAGAGGGCAAATTATCCAGACAGTCTCAAGTACTACTTCTTTGACTCTGGTTTTCTTGTGTCTTATACATGTTCTTTGTTGAAGATATTTTTCTCCACTTATAGAGGTTTGGTGATTTAATCAGCTTTTTGTTATTATAATTTTTAGGTTAGGCATTAAAATGTACACATTGCACATAGCAAACATGGTCAAAATAAAAGAAAAAGTGCAATGGTGCCATCTCCTGGCCATGCTGAAAACTGTATGTGAACTGCAGTGCTGTTATTTCCTGCATGTCTGCATCGATGTATGTGAGTACTAAGAAAGGGAAGAAAGAAAAGAAGAATACAGATATAAAATGTGTTGGTGACAAAAAAGGAGCCAACCTTTTCCTTCAGTGCCAGGTTGATCCTCTCCAGCTGCTTGCTGAGCTGGTTGCTGAGAGTAGCTTGTTGCCTTCTAATCAGGGGCTGCCAACAGATCATGACATCAGGATAGTGGGAGATCAGTGTGCTACAGATGTCAAAGCAAACTCATCTCTGAGCAGCATTAAAATACTGTAGTTTTTAGATGGCTGTGCTGATACCTGAATGTATTTCCTGGACAGCACAAGCTAATTTTAAGTGCTACAATGTATCATATACACTAATATGCCAGACATACAGTTGAGACATTTTTTTTAAGAGCAGTAAGACAAAGTGTATTCTTTTAATAAAAACTGATTGTATAAATATTGAAGGAAAAGCTACTGACATGCTCAGGGTCGAGAACAACGAACTCCTCCTCCTCCTCCTCCTCCAGCAGTGGCTCCTGATCCTCCATGTCTTCTGATATGTTCAGATTTGAGAGGTGAGATGTCAGCAGTACCTGAGCAACATTTTCTTCCACTGAAACACACAAAATAAAAACATTCTTTGACAATCAAGAAATTAAAATGTGAAAAAAATACTGCTGAGCAATACAGAACTTGTAAATATGTACTTTGAAGTATTTCTCTGTTCTCCAAATTAACATATTTGTCTTTTTTCTCCATATACTGATCTATCTATATAATAGATAATGTATCTATATCTCCTTGAAAATGGTTTCCTGTTTTAAATCAAAATGAATTATGGATAGTAATTGTCATTTTATCTTTTTTTAAATCATGATTACCCTGTGTAATTTGCACATATTTTTCTCCTACACTTTCCAATTTAATTTCCCTCAGGATGATAAATGAAAATTGAACTGTCCTATGCTGTGTCTCACTGTATTGTGTAATACTGAATTGTAATTGTAAAATGTTTTTGTGTGACTGACCTGAATTAGTAGCGGCATCGCTGATGTCAGGGACAGGCCGGTAGGCCACGACTTCAGGCTCTGATCCTGAATTCTGCGGGACAGAGAGCATGTACGTATAAAGGTTTTTGATATGAATTATAATCCAAACAGTGTGTGGTATTAGACACAGATTACATTTCCACATTTTAGACTTTTAAAGTCAAAGATAATTGACTAATAATTGAATAAGACTAACACTGTGTATAAAGGTATAATATTATAATAGGCTTACACTTCTTAACCTAATAGCAAAGTGTAAATGACAAAATACAAAAGAAACTAAAATTCCCAATGTGTCCATAAGGTGTTGATTTAAAAAAAAAGGGGGGGGGGGTTCTGAACTCTCTTTGTTTGCAGATACCTCTTGGGCAGGTGGGACAGTCGCTCCACCTTCTCCTGCTGTACTGTAAAGCACTTCCTGTGGATAGGGGTCTTTCTCATCTTGGCTGGAGCTCCCTTCCTCACTTCCAGCGTTCTGCATTGGACCTGTTATGAATGAACAAGAAGTCTAGGACAGGCTACTGGGTTCGTCATAGAGTTTCCTCTTCTCAGACATTAGCTAACTGTTATGCGTAACAAATGGAAATGCATTTCTATTATCCTATGCTATTTGTTCTAGCAAACTTTTCATATGTGGCTGTACAGAAAACACACAACCCCTAAAGCCAGCATTAAGAACAACATTTCCTAACGCTAGTTTAGCGGTAGGCCTAACCTGTTAGGCCTGGATCGTTATTGGTAACTAGCTATTTAGTCTACGTAGCGGTCAAATGGAGTTCAGGCACAGAGGCTGAGGAAAACGGTAACCTACAGCTAGAATAGTTGACAGCGAACCTTTGCTATTCAACAAATGATGAATATAGTGTATTTCTGAATAACTTACTATTAATAATTTCCTTAAAGTCTAATTCTAACACCATTGAAAACTAAAAATAATTACTCACCACTATAGACGGTCCCTGATACAACAGCGAACTAACGTTGCTAGGCAACCTTAAACTTCCGCTGGAGGAGGCGCAGGCGCAGTGATCATTGTCCAGACCATATGAGGCCATTTTCTCAAAATGTGTGTGAAAGAAAGGTGTGTGGCCTCTTGTTTGTGACTTAGGTTTTAAGGTAATAAAATTATGACCAGTAGTTAGGCTGTTGACAAGGCTTTCATGCTTTATGCTCATGAAAGCCACAAACATTTAGCCTACTTTGATTGTCCAGTTCAACGCCACATCTCTACCTTCCAGGAATCAATCAGTGTGGTAGCCTACCATATCCGTAACCAAGCATTAAGGCTAATAATGTTGGAGGGCTTAACTCTTTGCATGTGATTTTGAGCTATCGAAAATTCTTGTAAAACTGTGAGACTTCCACAAACAAGAATTATATTTTGGAAAAATTATACAAATTTTTTCAACAAAATTCTATATTAAGGAACAACAGGGTCAATTCCATTAATATAAAGTCACTTTTTAAATAACATTTGCCGCTGACTTTTTAAATTTAAATGGTCATCTATTATCATTTGAAGAATTCCACAATAAATTCACTATATTCGAATATATTCAGGAATGGGTATGTACTCCCACTACACTACTCTACTCCGATTGCTAAAGTAGTTTTTCTCCTGTGTCATCTTTAGGAGTTAGTCAATTTGCTGGATTACAGATGTGACAATAAAACAATTTGCTTGGTTTTCAAACAAAAAAATTGGGGGATTTTAACTCATGCTCTGTACCGGACAGAATTGAGGCCCCTTTAAGTTTCTCCTTAAGTTTTTCCATTTATCTGATATGCCTTTGCTCTTCAAGTCAGAGTAATTCATTATAAAATATCTTTTCACAAGAGACTTAAATTTGAAGTTGATTCTTGCATCTTTTGCTCTTCAGACAAGAAACCACCAAGCACCAGTTTTTTTTATGTTCATATTCCAACTTCTTTTTGTTTGATATCCATGGCTTCATTAAAAAATGATAATATTCCTTCATTTATGTAAAATGACAAATTATTTTATGGCTAACTTGTATGAAAATATTTCACACTTAATCTTGTGAAGACTTAGTAAATACTTGTAAGTGGAATGGCAGCACTCCCCCTTTCATTGTTTATTAATAATTTTGCCAAGGCTGAAATGCTTGGAAAATATGAATATTGAGGCATAACTGTGTACTTCCACATCTCAGCTGTTGTTCTTCTAATGTCTCCAACCTTGCCATTTTATGACTCTTCCTTTTCGCTAGTTTTTGTAGTGATTCTTTTTAAAGGCTGCTTTTAATTGTGACAAAGCCAATGCATCTATAGTGAAGCCATTCTATCATCCAATTTGGTTTTATCCCATCTAAACCCCCTGATTTGTGTATTTGTTCTTGAGCCAATTAAACAAGTCTCTGCCTTCCTAATTGGATCTAATGTACCAATTGAAATAGGATTGCTTGTTGGATGACAGGGTTATATAGTATTGGAATTTAACAAAATGCATTCAATTCCACACTAAATTGCCAGCTGTAGTCATTTTGCTTTGTATATTATGATACATACAAAATCTATGAGTAAATTAAATATGATGCATTTTTCTGGTTTAATAAATGATAATCAGAATGGAGAAATTGTCGCCGTCTTCGTTTTCAATAGTTTTGTTGTTGCTAATACTTTTGTACTTGTGCAAACATTTTGAATGCAAGAGGTTTACTTTTTTAATATGTCCACAATGGCTACTTTCCTCACCACCGTAAATAGGCATAAAATACATTAATGTGTTAATGAATGGCATCTATCTACAGGCCTCACAAAAAAGATTTATTTCACTCTGGAGCAAATAAACAAGGCAAACAGGGTTTATCTCCAATTTAGAGTACAAAATTTGAAGCAAAAAAAAAAAAAAATTCATTGGCAGACATTTAATTTGCTCTATAAATAAGGCAGATGCACACTGAATTTGGCCTTAAAATTACATGTAAGCGTTTAAAAAAAGTCCTCCATATTTCACATCTACCAATTATGACATGATCTTCATATACCATATATCCTTAAAAATCTTCTCATTCTCTTTATTCCAAAGTAGACAAACACAACCATAACCCTCATTTAGTCATTCAAAAACAAATACTATCAAAGAAAACAAAATTATACAAAAAAAAAGATAAATTTTGTATTACTGTGCTTCAGTATGCTGATAGCAACAAATGAAAACAAGGCAAGAATCCTCGTAAGAAATGTTACTGCAGATACTGTAGTGCATTTGTAAATCTTACTTTAAATGCTATATTCATACAGGATGTGTACCTTGGAGCAGAGAGAGATCTGGCACTTGAGGCCTAATCAAAAGACTTTGGTTACGATTAGAAATATGGTTAAAAAGGTATTCTCTGAAGGGGAACCTGTAGATAAGGCTGTACATTCTTGGCAAGAGTTGCTTTCCTCTATAGTACGTACTATAACTTTACCCCAGTGTTGTTAACTACATTGAAGTGTTTCTCTACTTAGAGTACGACAGGTAGTTTTTGTTTTTAAAGCACTGTCACATATTGAAGTTGGTCATTTAATTAACTTCCAATATCATAATCATCATCATTAACACCATCAAGTATAAATGATGTAAAGACCTGGTACTCCATAAACATGATTGTATGACACACCTAGAAAGATGCAAGATGAGATAATATTTATCATAAGAAAAACAAAAAGCAAAAAATTACTTGTATTTGTGCAACAATTCACATACCCCAATCAGGAGAGGATATTCATATAATAACAACAGGAACCAAAAATATTCATACATAGATTCTACAGATATTAGAGGCCTTGTACATCTCATCAGACATACGCTTTAAAATATCTATACAAGACCCTAGTAAAGCCTATGCAGCGTTTCTATCATTGCACTTATTGTGTTTGTGTATTTGTCATTTGCAATTTACATAGCGAATGCTCCTCAGAATTATTTCCAGAGACATGGATAACGGGATTATTGGCATTAAAAGACAGGTTTGGCAAATGAAGGGGGTGTTCAAGAATACTGTTAGTTAACACCTGATCAAAAGCCGTTCACATAAATTCACTTCAAGGTTTAGTGCTTGAGCTCTTCCATTACACTTAATTCTGAAGAATTTAAATGCCAACTCTCCTTCATACATGCATCATTCACTGTGAAACACTTCTAATTTTCTATCATATTGTAAATCCACACTTATTTCTATAATAAAAAGGCCACCATGCTCTCTTTTTATAGCCTTAGCAAAAATGTCTTCTGCAGGTTGTAAGGTATAACGTGAATGCGTCAACGTTAGTGTGTTCATAGGACATTATATACTTATGTAACTTCATACATTTTTCTTATCAATTTCAAACACCCCAAACTCTGAGCCGAGCATGGCTCTCTTCACGTACCAGTCTCTAATCAATAGGTCTTTATGGTTGTATAAATTCTTCATAAACAACCTTTTCTTCTGGCACAATGAATACTACTGAACAGAGCAGCAAGCGACAGTTAGCCTTTAGCGTTTCCTTGGTCAACTCAACTTGTTCCTTTTAAATTCACATGGTCTCCTAACTGGCAAATGAGAAACCCGCTCACTATAGAAATGTATTTGTATTCGAGGAGCGCCTGATCTATTGACTTGGACTCCAGTTCCCATTTGGAGACTTCACAAACTGTAGGAAATACTGTAAACAATCTTCGTGTCTGGCTGGTGCTGTCCCTCTCTGGCTAGGAAGGCTCAGGGTCCACTGCAGGGCCCACTAATGGTCCACTGGCCGTGCGCGTGTCCATGGCAGAATGCATGATAGTCAGCCACACGTCATCCATGTTTGGCATTACTAAAATTTTCTGATTAAGTGAAAGAAGAGAGGTGGGGCAGTGAGTGAACTAACAGTTTGTATTATTTTTGACATAGACAAGGTCTTTAAAACAGAAGTACAGTAGTAAGCACTAATATTAGAGGGCTTGCAAATTTCAGTCTGAGGTTAAACAAGTTTCATAAAAATGATTTGATCAGATCTATACAATTCCAAGTAATTGCTTGTAATATTTGACATGTTTCTAAATTTCATAAACAGAAAAAAGGAAATGGAGTGACTATCAATACCTGGAATTCCTGGTCCAGTTTTTTTTCTATCCAGTCAGTAACATGAGCCAGAGTGACTTCTCTTTCTCCTAATTTGGGCCGTGCCTTCAGTTCCAGATGAGGCGGTGTCCTAAACCCATACCTGCAATAGACAATCACCAACACATTCAACTATTTTCTTACTTAACTGAGCACCAAGAATGGTTAACCACCAGCACAGGGCAGTGATGTACTGAACAAAGAGACTGTATATCACATGCTACAGTTAATGTTTCATGCAGTTTCAATGTGTTTCAGTAGTCCTGAGTACAGATATCCTTATCCTTATCCATATCCATCATTTAGAAATAAAATATTTTAACTTAAGTTCCAGCTGACATGACAGAGGAAATCATCTAACTGAGTCCTTTGTCATCAAGAGACAACTGTGTTTTCCCATCTGTGGCAAAGTGCCATCTATGCGGAAGATTATTATATGAGATCACCTAGCACAGCATTCCACAGATTACATAGCAGAAAAACAACACTTCCTTCTCGTACCATATTCTGTCCGTGGGTGGAGGGGGTATGTTGACAGCCAGTGTTCCTCGGAGTTCCTGTACCTCCACTGTGAGCAGGAGGGGAGTATTGGACACTTCTTCCATCTTCTTTTTGATGAACTCTGTCTCTGTGGCCTTCTGGAAATATTTAGATTTGGCAATCTTGTCCACGAAGCGCATGATTTTACTCGGCTTGTGGCCTCCAACCAAACTGTGTTCAACCAAACCAGGTGAAAGTCACATACAAAATATATTGCAGTTGCACTTCCATTAAATGTCATAAGGCAATTTTCTAATTTTATCTTAGAAATATATGGATTTCATTTCATGAAAAAAAAAAAACATTTTACCTGAAAAATCAACAACAGTCATATGGATATGAAATACTCAGTTATGTATAATGTGAGTGAAGAGAATGAAGAGTATATGAACTCATTCTCACCCCTCTGCTCCAGCAGGGTCATTTGAGAGCTCTGAGGAGTCTTCTTCATCTGAAGAGCCTGCGCTGGATGACTCCTCATCACTATCAGCTAGACAGTAAGTCCGTGGCCTGTATCTGGAAACACAATAACAATCACAAATGGATCAGTGCAAACGGGGTTCTATGGTGTATCACTGTACTTAGTACCTGGATTCAACAACCCCAAATTAGAAAAAGTTGAGACGGTAGGTAAAATCTAAATTAAATCTGAAAATGGTGATTTGTAAATCATCTGTGTCCTGTATTACATTGAAAACATTACAGCAGCACATTATTTGATGTGATACCTCATCCATTTTATTCTTTATTCAAAACAAACACTCACTGCTTTGAACTTTCAGATGTTATTTGATATAAAACTTAAATCTAAACTCGCTTCCTTATGAGGAAAGGGGAAAAAAAAGAGCTCACTTCTCATTTACTGGTACCGGTCTAGCCCTGACAGATAGATACTGTGCATGAACATTGTATTTTAAGGATGCACAAATCCAGTTTGACACATTGGCAATGACCATTTGAAGTGACCACACATGGCGGATCAGGTATTGGCCATCAATATGTTTTCTTCTGTCATTATAAAATTCAGTTTCTGTTATCAGACTCAGTTTTAGAAGCACAGCAATCCCCATCCTCTGTGTTTCTTTAAAATAACACATGGCACTATATACTGTTGAGTGAGGTATACAGATGTTACCTTTGTGAATAAGAGAACAGTGGTATTGGACTGGCACTCACAACCCCTGCGTACCCCTGAGTTGAGGTACTAGAATCAGTACTGGGAGAGGAAGAATTATCTAGGCAGCCTTACTGTATTTACCCTGACATATACAGTATTAACATATTGTTTGTGTCTTTATTGCTGAGATTTAGGAGATGAAGAGTACCAAAAGGCACTGCGCACACTAAAAAATGAATATTTGAAGAGATGATGCAATGGGTGGTATAATAAAATGAGACAACCTCAAAATTGCAGGTATACAAAATTAGAAAATGAGAGTTTAACAGAGGAGATAACTATTGAAAGTCAAGCAGCACTCACCAAGAGCAGAAATATATCCATTTAACAGCCACATAAAGGCAGAATCCAGAGGGCAGAGAGGAAATAGTAGTGAAAAGAACAGAGAAGATATAAACAACAGAAAAGATACACAACGATGAGTGAGACGGAAGGTGCCAGGCAGAACGTGTCAGATGTCTGACAGAGACAGGTATACTTTTAGAAAACATGTCTAATCCAACTAAGGGGCATTTTGGGGCTTTTCTAAAATGTGCATGTGGTACGATGGAGCCTGACTGTCTTACCCGTCTTTACCAAATTCTCCTAAGCGGGGGCTTTCTCCCTCCTTGCCCAAACGAATGAGGTTCATCTTGGTCTCTAGTGTCATCAGGAAAGAGCCACTGTAGGAAATCTCCAGGTCAAACCACAGACCTGAGGGACACAAAGTCGTTAGTAGAAATGTTGATCTGAGACAAAAATTAAAGAAGTGAAACCGTTGTGTGCATGATATTGAGGATGTAAGATAAATGTACAGTCCACCAGCCATGGCACATAGTGGTGTTTAAGGTAAAAGGGTTGACAAATCTCTATTGTATAATTTTAAATATCACTGTATTGTCCAACGCGACGCTTGAAAGAAGCAGTTGCATACAGGTGCCTATGAGTTTATTGGCCAGTGCACGGAGAGTATTTCAGGCATTTCTAGCTACCGCTTCTCTGTCATTCTCTCACTCCTTTGTTTCCCCACAGTATTCCCTCGCTCACCTGGCCTTTCTGTGGCCCCTCTCTTTCCCCCTTCAAGTATCACGTCATGACCCCGGCAGTTTTTAATTTCTTGATCCCCCTGCTTATATGAGAAAAATGCTGTGAAAAACCTGGTGAAGGCAAGGAAAGGAAGATCACAAGGTTTTTAGAGCTAGAGAGCCTACAATCTTCCCCCTATAGCCCGTTTGATGTCACCGGGGGGACTGGCTGCATATACAGGGCTATCCCGCCGGGGTCTGTCGGAGGTTTCTTCCGTTAAAGGGAGTTTTTTCCTCAAAAGTCTTCATGAAAGGCTTGCAATGGGCAAGCTATGTATAATCTAGTTTTTTTTTCCTTCTCCCATTCTTTACAACACAAGATCATATCCTCTTGTGTACAAGGAACAAGAACTAGCAATAGATTTGGGTGTGGTTTCTCTGTACACCACTGGGAGGCAGCAAAGGATGGAGAAGATGTGGGAAAGATGAATATAGTGAAAAGTGAGTGATTCAGAGGATGAAGGCACTTGGCTGCAAGTACACTATTATTAGATTTCCTGACAATAGCCCAGTGACACAAGTCAAAAAAATGACAAGAGAAAAAAAGTTGTTCACATATGATAAAGAGATGTAGTGTTGGAAGAGACACCACAGAGAAGAACAGTACTGAGCCCACGTGCTCTGTCCTCACTGCTCTGTTTCCTGAACACCAGCTGGTTGTGCTAAATGACGCGATAAAGCAATGACTCTGGTGTGCCAGAGAGAAAAACAATCCGAGTGAGACTGGGCCTAAGAGAAACCGGAAGTCAGGAAGAAATGGAAGCAGAAAAAAGAAAAGTGCACCAGAGAGAACAGAAGGTTACAAAGTCAAAGAGGGTTTGAGAAAGCACATGCTGGCTCTGCTGAGTGCACTGGGCCTTGCTTCATCTGCCTGTCCTAAGAGGCATGGTGAATAGTAGGACTGTACGTGACTGGGTCAGGGTTTATGTAGGGCACTGAGCATTGTTAGTTTGGGGAGAGGAGTGAAGAGACTCAGTGCAAGCTACTGGATCAGGGAAGTGCTTCCTTAATTGGGGTGAAGAGTCAGCAGTGTGTTGCACACATACTGCAAAGAAATGAACCTGACACATGCAAGGCTCCCTTGTATGCATCCTAATATACAAACCCATAAGGCAGAAGACATGCAAAAACAAACATGCATAGACACAAATGAACACATACGCAGAGGAAATTGCTTGCGGAGATGTGCACACGTACACAGTTGGAGAGGTTCATTGATCCACTGCACTCAGCAGCTTGTTCCAGGAAGTGGTGGGGTGAGATAAGGTAAAGGCAAAACTTGAGATGCCTGGAGAATACAGCCTGTAACAGCAGTGGAAATTTATACATGGAAAACTAAACTGACTGTTTCCAGTGGACGTTAAAGGGCTACCGATCATAGAAAAAGCAAAAAAGAGGAAAGAAACATTTGCTTGCTCTGTAGAAGTGTAAAGTGTAGAAAACAGAAACATACAGAGGGATCAATACATGCCTCCAGTTATCTTTAGCCAAGTGGAAAATAAGTCTTTTGTTTCGAGCATGAACCCTTTCCTGCTTCCTATTGCCACTCAATTCAAAGAAATATATCTAAAAATGAGGCACTTGGCTATTATTGACCGATAGTGGGTGATCTGTATCAGCTTCCTTGCAATCTGAAATCAAAACATTTGGCAGTGTACTGGAACTTCTGAAATAAAGTGCAATTAAAGCCGACAACCTTTCAACAGCATCAACAAAATGGTGTCCCAAGCACACTGATTGCATGTTGAGAGGCTACTGAGGTGTGTCTTGCCTGGAACCGATCCAACAAATGCCACTGCCGTCTCAGCTGGAGATGCAATCAATTCCTGCGCTCATTAGAGGGTTATGTGAGTGCTACAGTGATAAAAATGAGGCAGTAACTCATAGCACAGGAGAAAGGAAGAGAGATACTCAGAGTAAAGAGAAAGCAAGGACATAGAGAAGATGATGAAATGAAAGGGAATCCAAGGAGAAGAGAAACTAGGACAAGAGCAGGAGACTGTACATGTGAAACAGACGAAGAGAGATCTGTCACAAAATGTAAGGAAGTATGAGAAAAGGAATGTATTACAAAGGGATGTAAAGATCAATGCTGATGCATGTCTGAGTGATCACAGAAGGAGTCCTCTAAAAATGATATAGAAAACTCCTTCAGAAGACTAAAACTAGAGCAGAGATAGCTGAAAACTTCAGTGTCAGGGCTCTCACATAGCTAAGCCTTGGTTTATTCGACCCACTGATAAGTATAAGGGCAGAGACACACCAAGTCAAGGTAAAAAAAAAAAAAACTAGCAGCAACAAAGGCCAACCTCTGCATTGCCTCATGTCACCTTTGTCTGGGCCAGTCAGGTTGAAAATGTGGCACTTTAACACACTGCACAGACTACAACCAACAGCTGACTAGCAGGTACGTTCAAGCGCCTGCACGAGAGAAATAACACCCCCCACCAGCAGTTGGCAGTATCAATTTTCACCATTCAGAATGGGAAAGAAGAAGCACTAGAATGCAGAAGTATAAGCACCTCAGAACTAATTGAGAATATGTCTGATAAGTTGCAAATGGCACTGCCGTTCTCTGTCCTTGGCCTTTTGGGTTGTGGATGAGGACAGGAGGTTGGTGGAGGCGAAAAACTAAGAAACTTCACTAAACGGGTGAAATCATGAATACTACAGCTGCAGGCTGAGGGACTTTCCTGAAACTGTACTTGTCTTCTGCATTGATTCACTAAGCTTAACTGTCAGTCAGAGTAGTCTCTCTCTCTCTCTCTCTCTCACAATGTCTGACTGCTGACGCTGATTCAACATGGCGAACTGGCCTAAAATCCACCAACGGAGGGCAACTAGTGCCATCAGTGTGGGACAAACCAGGAAGACGAGCCCTGACAGACACTCAATGACCGCCCAACGATGGCTGACGGCCAACCGTTGGCTTGGTGCGTCTCTGCCCTAAGACCTGGTAAAGTGATTAGGGCAGGACTGTATTGTCCTCAGCTAAGAGCTGACTAAACACTCAAATTCCATTATGTAAACAAGGCTTTCAATTATGAAGCATTTCCAGGACCTACTGTACATAACACCTTTTGAAAAGGAGAATTCTTCATATTAATTAAGCTCACGTGCCTTTTTATACCACTTGCAGCTACTCTGTGAATTACAATATCCTATCCACTGAGCAGTGTTACTGTTGGTCAGGCACTCTGACTGCAGCTGTAGAGGATGGGAAAGGTCTGATCTTTATATAATATAGCCGAGAGCATACAAGTAATCAGCATGACTCTCTATCCTCAAGGGTAACACAGCCTGACAAGCTGAGTGGGTGGAAATACAAGTTATGCCACAACATTACTTCACCTGTGCTTACTGAATGGGACAGTTACTGTTATTACTGGCTATGATTTCAACTATTTCCCACATATTAGGGATTAAAAAAGGAAACAGCACTGCTCTATTTTCGAAAATGTCTAAGTGGACATAAGCATATGCACAGACCGAGTACAACATGGTTGTATTTCTAACTCCTGCTTTAAATTATTATAAGCATTGTAATTCAGTGCTGCCCCAGTACTGGGAGCTTATTAGTCACAGAAAGAAGACTTTCACACAAGTAGCACACAACAGGACAAAGTGTATGCCATGTCCAGGGGTTGGAGTGCAAATCATCCATCCCCGAGAGACATAGTCCCTCCAGCATGTCCTGGGTCTTCCCCGGGACCTCCTCCCAGTGGGACATGCCTGGAAAACCTCCCTAGGAAGGTGTCCAGGAGGCATCCGAAACAGATGCCCAAGCCACCTCAGCTGGCTCCTCTCGATGTGGAAGAGCAGTGGTTCTACACTGAGCTCCTCCCGGGTGACCGAACTCCTCACCCTATCTCTAAGGGTGCACCCGGCCACCCTGCGGAGGAAGCTCATTTCGACCACCTGTATCCGGGATCTTGCCCTTTCGGTCATGACCCAAAGCTCATGACCATAGGTGAGAGTCGGAATGTAGAGTAGCTTCTTCACCACGACGGACCGGTACATCGACCGCATTACTGCAGAAGCTGCACCGATCGATCTGTCAATCTCCGTTCCATCCTTCCCTCACTTGTGAACAAGACCCCGAGATACTTAAACTCCTCCACTTGGAGTGGAGCAGTGCAAATCAGTACACAGTAAAAAAAAAAAAAATGATAAAGTGAAACTCTACAGCAAAACAAACTTTAGGACACATTTATTCAGATCTAGCAGTAATAGGCTAGATACCAAATTTTTTACAGAACAGTCACGACTGTCCAAATCTACCATAATTTGTAATTTCATTTCAAAACCTGATTACTTCACAAATGTTTGTTGCACAGACTAGCAAATATATTAGCATCAATGGAAAGAGCTGGTTATGCTGTTTGACATGCGTTTCACGGTGGCGCAATGAGTGATATGATGTCATCAGATATGGAACCAGGAGTAAGGGGTGTAAGTTTCCAATTAATGTGGAAAAATTGCATCTGACAGTTAGGGTTAAACTGTAAAATCTATCTGACCTAATGTTAGTTACTTCAATCTGTCATCTTCTCTCTTATTTCTCTCTCTGCTCCTCTCGCCTCAGCTGGGTGGGGTGTCACTATGTGTCCCCTCTTCCTGTATCCATCATTGCAAATTAAAAGCCCTATGCAGAGTTGTGTAAAAGAAATATAGTGGAAACACTGCTGTGTGCTATAATGTTTGAAATTGCTTTCTCTTGCCTCGATAGTCAATGGAGGGTTTGGATGCTCCAAGGATTCGGGGGGTGGCCGAGCCCATGTCCAGTTCTGTCAGAGTTAGCTCATTCATGAAGTAAGGCAACTGCAAAACAACAAGTATACATATGAACTGAGCATGACACATGAAAATAACTCCTTTTATGTCTTCTCTACTCTCTAACCTTTTGTCTTGTCTGCCTGTCTCAGTTTCAGTCAGTTCTAAAGAGAAGTGTTGCTAGGTGCCTTTCTCCACTCACCCGTATCTTGCTGAGCTTCATCTGAATCTTCTTGGAGACTAGTTCAGCCCAGTGGGGCTCGCACAGGAAGTCCCACAAGAGCCGGCCAAGAGCCACATTTACCCAGGCAACAGCTTCCTCCTCCTCTTGCCTGGGCTGCACCTGAGCTGAAGGGGCGCTCTGAAGCTAACAAAAACATTATAAGGAAAGAATATGAATCTCATTTATCTGTACAGGATAATCCACTGACCCTCTACAATATAGCAAAGGCCTAGTCACAGGCCTCTTAGATGCATGAGTTGAGTTGTGCTTCCTCAGACTATTTTACTTAACACTGTCATTAGATGACCTTAATACAGTATCAATACATTACAAAGTTAACCTGGCACATCATTAAATAAAACAAATCTTATGTACCAGTGGTAAAGAGTTACTATCTTCTTGGTACAGTACAACAGGTACAGTATTAATGTTGCCCTTGGGTATCTTTGAGTGTTAATCAATTCAGCATGTTGACTGCTCATGGGCACATCTTAGATTTTTTTTTTAACCTAATTTCTTGGGAGGTGAGAAAGACCTACATTATTTTGTCCTGTCAAACGTGTTCACACCTGAGTCAGAGTGATCGTTTGTCCTCGACATTTCAGTGAGTAAAAACTTTAAATTGTGCCATCTGTCTTCTGCCTGTCTTGGTTGAGTCAGTGATAAATACTAACTATTCTAGTCTTCTGACTAAATCTTTACAATGATGAGCCACAATACTGTGTTATTGGTTTGTAATTGCACTGCTTGTAACAGATTAATATTACAAACGAGACGACATGACAAGTTTGTCATATAAGTGAGGAAATACAAAAAGATGTTAACAATGTAAACGGCAGATGGGTGTTACCTTCTTGTCGGCCCCAGGGCTGCTCTGAGGACTCTGAAGAGGTGGGCTGGCAGCTGGGGGGCTGCCGGTCACCTGTTCTGGCACCAAGGAGGCCATATAGACTTTGTACTCCAATAGTGGCTTGGTTTTGGCACTGCCTGCTGTTGTTGAAGAGACAGAGGAGTCCCTTGACCTGGGCTGAGATGCCAGTGCCTCATCCAAACTGCTGCGGCTGCTGTTGCGACTGTGAGAGCTCAGAGCTGTGGGCCATGCCAAACATCAGGAAGAGGTGAGGAATTTAGATGCTGCACTCAAACGTTTTTGCTGTTTCTAACGTACACACACTTTAGAGTGGAAGTGCCACTTTTCTAAATTAGTTGTATATGAATATATCCTTAAATTTAAAAATGTAATTTTGACAATTTTATTCTTGGGGGGGGAGAGACATACAGCAAAGGGCGAAAAAATGAACAATCTCCACCCTCTAGAACTTCAGAAGAGAAACACAACTATCAGGTTTGCTCACCGCTCTTAGTCCCAGCAACACTGGAAATTCTCTTCAAGTTTGTCTTGAGCTTGGAAGCTGAAAGGAAATGCTGGAACCACTCCTCTTTCTCTCTGCCAGTCCTTCCAAACAGATAGAGGGTGAGGTCTCTGCTGGACCCCCGCTCCTGTGAACCTCCACTCCCCTCTCCTCTGTCCCTTGCGCTCATGCCCTCACCAGCTTCCCACCTGTCACCCTCTGTCTTTGACATGAAGTCATCCTGTTTGCCAAGTTCAATGCAAATAGGGTATTTTTTGTTCCATACACGCTTCCTAGCCAGGTTCTGTGGCACTAGATATACCTGAGGGAAGATTTGGCGGGAAAGTCTCAACATTTGATTTCTCTACAATTCTACCAAATGTAATAACTGTTTCCTGACAATTTTAAGACAGAAAACATTCTTCTATGGTGACATTTTTCCATTATCTATGCTAAAATAGATAATAGTGAAATATACTTAAATTAGGCATACACAGACTTGAACATAAAAAAGGAACAATTATCACTGAAATCAACAGAGTCAAGTTGCAGAAATATAAGGAACTTATTTCCAAAGGTGTGAAAATTAATTCTATTTTAACATGTCAGGGGAAGGAATTAATGTAACAACATACTTTGCTGTTGGTCAGGTCATAGATCTTCTGACTGATGTAGGTGACGTCAGGTTTTGGTTCATTGTGTGTTGCACGGCGGGAGATGTTGTGGTTGGGTTTAGACAGGCGGATGATGGAGCCCTCCAACCGGACATACACAGACTGTGTTAGTGTGGCATGGTATGTCTCTGGGTCATAGTTTGATATCTCGTTCATCCAGCCCTGAAAGGAAAACATACATGGAGCGATTTTACATAATGTAGCTAACATTTCAAGACTGAGTCCCAAAACCATGATACTAAGTTTTCCCACACCAATTGTTCTCTCTTAAAAAAAAAAACTAATCAATTCTCTCTGAGGAGAAAATAGCTTGAGGACAACTACAAATAGAGTAGACAATAATCCAGCACTGTGTGCCTGGAAAATGAGGGCACTGAAATATTTGCTCAAATATCTGTTGTCACCCATGTAACATGTTTGAGCAGAGATAGAAAAGGTTATCTGTCACTTTCTATGAACTTCATACTGATAAGAAAGTGACTTGTAGCCACTGTGTTTTGAAGTTAAGACACTGTTTATTTGTCATTTGCGTTCTGCAGCAGGCTTTGAAGTTTATCTGGCTACATTCAGCAGCCCAGGATTCATATCCAACTGACTTGTTGCTTTATTACTTTAACCTGAAAACTGTCAAGGAAATATCCTTCTTAAATTGCATGTCTGTCTTTGTTCACAACATCCCACAAATACAGCTGCACACAGTCCTATGAATGACTTTATAAAATAAAATTTACACTTGCTGATAGGTGTGAAAGTGAGTGTGAATGGCGTCTATCTACAGTACATGTGTTAGCCTTGTGAACTGTCCAGGGTGTAACCTTCAGCCCTAGAGTCTGCACAGGACCTGAACAGATTTGAATTACTGCAGCCCTGACACACCAAACCTTTCACCAAATAACAAGCAACTTCAACACATGATAAGAAGTCATTCTACATTCAGATGTTTGGACTATGGGATCTGTTTTTAAATCTGTTGCTTTAGACCTTCTCTATCAGTTGGAAATTAATCACTGACTGTTGGGAAGACCTGCCTGCTGTTGTTGTTGTGTTGTTATTGAGGACAGGTTCATCAGGAAGTAGGGCAACAGGCTTTGCTTTTAAAATACACACAAAGGGGATAAAACACGCTTCAGATTTCAGGCACCTAAATTAGCTCAATGGCTAGTTTTAGCTTCACTGTGATACTTAAATACACCTTGATAATTTTTTTCTACATTTCCTCTATAAAAAAACTACACAATTCTTATTAAGTTAGAACTACATTAATACAAAATAGTAAGACAGTCAAATATAGCGGGCATTTCCCCTCACATTTCCTATATTATTTTCTATAGTGGCCAATAATACCACCCATGACCCTTGAATTGTCATTGTGCATGTGATTGGGATGATTTAAACATCTGAGGTGTCAACATAAATCAAGATTAGGGGGATGTGGTGAAGTTTTCAAAAATGTTTTTGAACATGTAATACATGAAATTATCTTTAAAATAAAGTATTCTGCTTCATGATTGTATCGTCATAAACACTTTGGAAGACCAACGATTGATATAATCAACCAGATGGATTTTTTTTTTTTTTTTAAGAATTTTTAGGAGTTAAAGGCTCTTACAGCATAACAGAAAAAAAAAAAATCAAGAAAGTCTGAAATTTCTCAAAAGAGCAGGAAAGATTCACTGACCTTATAGATTTCTGGTTCCTTAATGTCCAACTTGGTTAGATTCCACAGCTTCCCATGGCGTCTAAAATGTCTAAAAACACCAGAAGGTTTGGGTCCCGTTAGCCACACAACACCAATGGCTAAAAAGAATCCCAGCCCGATCCCAAGTAGCACTCCACCAATGTAAGTGGGCAGTGGTAACACAAAACACCCATAGAGCAGGACAGTAATGATGATAAGAGTATAGTGTGGAACACTAGGTGCCGGTTCAATACTTTCAGATTCATCTTCACTGCATGGTTCAGTACTACCACTTTGTGGAACCTTAGTTTGACTATCAGTTCCAGTATCATCTGTTCCATCACCACCATCACCTTCATCAGTACAAGTTTCAAAGTCATCGCTGTATAGGACGCAAAAGTCCTCATCTTCCTGCTTAGCAAGAGCAGACATGGAGCACTTGTCTAATGATATGGCAAGTGAAGAAGACTTGTTGGGGCTCTTAGTGTCAACAGAGGGGGAAACCCATGATTTGGGTGGACCAGAGGTCTTGCTGTTAGGGCTCTCAGCCTCACTGTCAGGTCCTTCTTCCTCCTTAATGCAATAATTGTTGTTGCTCTCCAGTTGACCATTTATAGAAGCAAGAGAGAGCTCGGAGGCACTGGTAGAGAGGGCTTTGGGCCGATAAATGCTGCTGCCACTCTTTTCATCCATGATCTTACTCAAAAAAAGAGATGGCTTCAGAGAATCGACGCTTGGTGTCTTCAATTCGTGCCTCAACATCTGAAGAGACTCTGAAGAAGCTGCGGTTATCTGGTGAGGTTAACGGAGAGGAAGGGGCAGTTTTAGAATCACTAGCTGATGGCACAGTAGCAGACGGCATCCGGGATTGTGTGAATTGCTTGAAGAGTTGCAAGTTAAGACGGGATTCTGTAAGACGGTACGGTGCAGAAGAGGAGTCCTGGTGTGTATCTATTGATAAGGATTTGGCAAGATTCTTCATCAGATGCCTATGCCTTACCAATGGAGCAGGAACAGAAGAGACTGGGTCACGAGCCTCAACATCAGAGGAAAGAGACTTCACCAAGGTTAAAAGAGGTTTGTCACTGGAGGGAAAGCTTAAAGATTTAGTAGGAGAGGAATTAGAAGTTGAGCCTTTCTGCTCAGCAAAACGCGATAACAGAGTTTGTGTGGGAGAACTGTTAGTGTGATGTCTAGAAACAGGAGAAGGTCTGGTTGATTCAGGAATGACAGCAATCTCGGCTGCAGGGTCCAGTGGCACCTCGTCAAACATCTCCTCACTCGCTTCTAAAGCTGTCACAATATTTGAGTAATCCTGAGTGGCTGAGGTAGTGGAGACTGTTGTACAGTACAGCTCTTCCTCCTCCTCCTCCTCCTCTTCCTCCTTCCCAGCTGCTGAGAAGCGGATGGTGATGTTCTCCTTTGACAGCGAACGCTGCACATGGAGCTTGGGGGCCACAGCAGGTGGCTGTTGGTCTGTGGAGTGAGTGCTGTTTGCATGGCTGGGATGCTGGCTGGTCATTGCAGTACTCCCACTGAGTCGCAGTCTGCAAAGAAGGAAAAGAGATGGCACTAAATTAAGACTGGCACTATTAGTCAATTAATAGACTGGTTGATCAACAGCAGAGAATGTTAGACTCTGGTTCTATCATCTCAAAGGCAAGGATGTGCTGCTGAACTTTGTCACATATGATAGTAAATTGAACATCTTTTTGGATTTGGGTTTTAAACCATTGGTTGGACACAACATGTCACCCTGAGCTCTGAAAGATTATAGTTGGCATTTTTCACTACTAACATTTTACAGATCAAGTAAATATTTAAAATTGTAAAGAAAATTCATTTGATTACATAGCAAATAGGCTACGTTCACAAAAAGTAGGAATTTTAACTGTTTTGAGGTAGACTAAATTTTAATAAGACAGTGACAAGTAGTCAGGTATTTATTTAAAGAATTGGGATTTTGATTTTATCTGCCTCATGACCCTCTACAGACATAGACTATACATTCTGCATTTAATGAAGAGCCTGTAAAAAATATCTGATGCTGTTTTCACACTGTCCAAACATTTGTTTTATCCACATTTAACAAACAGGTGAATCTGAAGCATGAAAGGAAAGTGTAGATGAAGCTTTCTCTGTCTATGGAGTCAGGTGTGTTACCTCCAGCCGTCCACTGCACAATACAATTTCAAAGTAGTTGGAACATCAATATGTTACATGGCCTTACGAGCCATACAAATGATTAGATTGTGTTTTTCAAATTAATGATTTGTTGGTAGATTAACTTGACAAATCTGAGTGAAGATGCTTGACAACAAACAAATTAGTTATTATTGTGAAATGCAGAAGAATGCAAAGAAATGTACAATACAGGGCCAGAATAGTTCTTATGTTGTATGTTCTTAATGTATGTTGAAATAAATATATTCATAAATAGTAATATCTCAACATTATTACCTTTACCACTAGTTGTTCCAGTTTCGGTAGCAGCATTGGGGAAGTTCATATAGCACATTTCATTTACAACATTCGGGGAAAAATAAATTGTGTGATTTGAGTAATGGGGGGCCTGTGCCCCAGTAGAGCTTTATACCTAGCAACACCCCTGTCTACAGGTGTAGATAATAGATGAATTTTACCTGCTACAGACAACTAACCAACTTAAAACAATCCTGGCTACTTTTTGATTAAACTGTGAGATGCTGCTGAAAGCTCAAAAGTTAGTAAGTGGCCCTTTGAGCCCCTTTCTCTGACAAGTCCTATTCAGTGAAATAGCTTGTTTCTGTATTACACACTTGCAAATTTATATCACCACTGAACTGCAAATGTTGAAAAGTATTTGTTGGTTAACAAAGTCATGTCTTCAAATCACTAAATCGGGTCATCAGCCATGCCTTGGACTGATTCTTATATTTAAAAAAAAAATTCATGTAAATCTGCCATGCAATTTAGTACAAGCAGTTGGTCAATCTGAGCTCAATGGAAATTCATTGTAGTTTTTAACATCGACTCAAAATGTAGGAGACTGTTGCTACTGCTGCTCATAGTATTTACCTACCTGAATATAAACATTTTCCTACCAAGCAGGGCTCACAATCTCTATTAATCATCATCTCTAAATTCATCATGGGTAACCGAAACAATTGAAAAGGGCTCCCACAAACACAGGAGGTAGCGTTTCCCAATCGGAAACCAGCGAGGGAGCACATCCTTATCACTGCACATTACTGAGTCATCAACTGTTCAGGAACGCCAACTACTGTATATGATTTTAATTGTGCTTTATACTTCTACATGAAAAACATGTATTCCATGTGTGACTGCGTGGGTTCTCACACATGCAGTGTTGTGCTACTCAACCTGTTTGTTTGCGTCAGATTTCTGCTCAGCAGTAATCTGGCATCTTAAATCACCATACACAGATACAATCAGAATCCCCAGTCCCACTCACCACCTGCTGACTCCCTTGCAAACTGCACCCCAAATATTCAGCAAGAATCAAAGAGCCCAACGAGGAACAATCAAAAACAAAGATCAGTAGGCTAAAACAGGAATCAAGACTAACAAGGCACATGAAATATGCAGTTGGCTTCACAAGGCAACTGCATATTTAGCACGAGGGACATTTAGACATGATTTTAGTGGTAATGAGAATACTGCATTTGTACTTGTAAGCTCTAGCGTTTGCATATTAGATTGTGAATACTGAAATCACATAAACTTGTCTTGCATGAAACAACAACCACAATATGCCAACAGCCTTAACAGATGTTTATATCTTAATTATACAGTGTGGCATGTAGTGAAAACTGTATTACACCTCAGGCTTCGAGAGCACATGTCCAGACACAACAGCCATCTGCTGAAATCCAGATGATTTTCTGAAGGTGGAATGACTAAGATTTTACACCAATTCTGATAAATTAAGCACAAAAAAAAAAAAATCATCCAAAAGTATTTTCTCCCTGCTGTACTAAGGTCCCACCACAACCCCTCTTCACCTCAGTCTGCTATCTTCAGGCCCTGTGTTTATGTATTGTCCTCTGTGACGACTGTTGTTAAAATCTTAACTTCACTTCTATGCCCCTGCTGAGGTTGTCAAGGTTTTCAAACCAGTATGATAAATTTCAAAGATGGACCATGTACCTTCGCAGGTACAACCCAGGATGGGAGCAGACCTATTAGACCCAAGAGGCTGTGTTCTGTAGCACAGAAAGAGGTAAAACCAGGGTTAACATCGGTTTGGCATGTCAGAGATGGAGAGCATTAAAAGCATCCAAAGGACTGAAATCTGACACAGATGCGGCCTTCTTCCTGCTTAGTATTGTATCAATATTACTGGGATAAAACATCCCTCTGTATAATTTGCTTGTGTTACTGCAGATAAATCCACAAATAACATTAGATATACGTATGCATATTGCTTAAATGTGAACCTCTTTGACATTGTCTCGCTGCAATACCACTGAAAACCAAGAGCTCTGTGGACTATATACTCTGTATACATTTGTTCTGGAGCTGGTTATTACTGCTGCGCTACCTGACTGCCACAACTATCCCTGGCTGTCGTGACCACATATGATGTAGTTTCAGAGACAGGGTAGGAGGGGCAAAGAGAGCGGAGGGAGAAGAGGGATACTGCTTGAGTTTGATCTGGCTCTAACTTTGCCCTTAATGGTCAAAAATGAGAGAGAGGTTAGTTAATGCAGTTTTAAAGAAAACTAGAGTAGTCAATTGTATGATTTCACTGTACAAGCTCATGACTCATGACTAATGTAACTCTGCTACTAAGCTACTTTACAGTCAAACAATTTGAAATAACCATACAATGACTTGCCATCATGACAATTTAGAAACAAACACAGTTCAGTAGAAAGTACAGCTACATGTTGAATCTGTAAAGAAAAAGAAAAACCTTGGAGCAAACACATGAGGAAATACAATAGGTGGACCATTTGTATTCTGGTACTGACTGTGCAAAGGTAAGAATTTGTGTGATCACCTTCAGTCTCCAAACTCTGAATTTAGATGCACAACATCCACAGCTATGAATGCAGTGTGCTACTGAGCTGCCCAGTGAAATCAGAAGCTCTTCTTTTCATTCCTACATACTTCCCCATTCTCAGCCAGCACTTGATATGTAGCATGTAACAAAAGCCAAAAGATATCTTTCACACACGCACACACAATTAATTTTTGCTATCAGATTAAATATTGATTTAAACTTCAATTGTTTATTAACATGGTGACGGTGATGACAGGATACATCTGGAAACACACTGTGACCAAACTTTTGCATTTTTGAGACATAATCTGATAGTGAAAACAGATTATTATAATGTCTTGCTGACATTTGGCACTGGCGTCCTTGTTCCCTGTCCCAACAACAGAGGTGGCATGTGGTCAGGCTGGTTCACTTATGTACAGACTCAACTTAATGGCCACTTATTGTCACATGGGTCACGAGTGAGCTCATTACCCAGCCAGGCAGTCTGCCAGCCACCTCTGTCCCCAGTTAGCCAGCCTTCAGTCAGCAGCAACATAATGAGACCATTCTAGAGGACTGCCAGCTGGACATGAATTTCATTTTAGCATACAAGACTCAAAGCACATAGAAGCGTTTGTCATCAGCACAACTGGATAAATGATATGGGAGCAACATGTGTAGGGATTTGTGCTCCCCAAATAAACAGAACAAACAAACAGAGCAAAAGACTGGTACGAACATGTTTACACATTTGGCTGTCCAACCTAGTGTGTCTATGTACACAATAACAATGAAGTTCCCTGTTTGTCTTATGTCCCCAGAACCTCTCCTTGAGCTACTGAACCAACTTAGAGGACGGTGCAGAATATCCTGCCACTGATGCTGATGAAGCCAATTAGAGAAGCAAGCAAACCTCATTAAAACTCCTACTGCCTACTAATGTTTTGCACTCATGAGGGACACATGCACAGCTCACTTCTGTTGTGTCAAGCACGGCATAGGCTACTGGTAACATGGCTATTACACATACTGAAGCTATCCATGCACAAAAACTGTTTTTCAAACTGTGTTTCAGCATATTATTCAAATAAACTGTTAGATTTGTGTCAAATTCATTTTGACACAGTGATATGTTACAAATACAACTGTGCAGTAACCTAAAACAGATTTCATCCGATGTCTGAAGGGCCAAGTAAAATTTCTAAATTCGGTCTTTATGCAATCACAAATCAAAGTGTGTGTTATTCAGAAGCAATGTTTCAGCGGTTATCTAGACAGCACTCAGAGAGAGCAACCTTCACCAAGGGGCAGCTCAGTTTCCCCATGATGCCATAAATGCAATATTCCCATGATCGTTTGACCATGAAACCTACTGCTGGCATTTGGAATAATGCTGAGATCTTTATTAGCTTGAATGTTATTCATGAAAAACGATATAGATGTCAGATATCCACTCCTTCATTTAGGGGTAAAACGGGGACTTCAGTGAGTAGACCATGGGCAAACGGTGAAGCTGTCACAGTACTGCAAGTTTGTGTTCTGCTTGTTCAACAGCTG